GGCTGGAAAGAGTTTGATTTTTTTTTTTAACTCAGTAAAGATGATAATAGCAAACATGTACCAAAAGTTCACTATACCCTCGGTACTGAAAGTACATCCGGTATAGTAATTAATGGAATCCTTATAAAATAGTATTGCTCCTAAGACTATCCCTGTTTTATGGATGAGGGAACTGAGGACGGAGGTTAAAAAAGTGGGAGGAAGTGACCAAGCTAGTGAGCAGAGAGCTGGAATGCAGGCTGAGGGATAGGTCCAAGTTCCATACTCTCGGGCCTCCCCAGCTAGGTGTGCAGGGGACGATGGTGAGGGTTCAGTAGAGGTGTAGAGGTCACACAATTGAAACTACTAGTGGATCCAAACCTATGAGTTCCACCGGATGGGGAATGAGATGACCCCCTTCTTCTTCTTCTCCTTCACCCCCATTTTCCTTTGGCAAAGCTGATGCCTGAATAAAGGATACAATGATTTCCAGATGTTGTTTGGCAATGACACGTGGTTTCTGAACAAACAAGTCAGTGGCTCTTCTTGAGACTTATGTAGCAAGTGATGCCTAAACAAGCAAATAAACCAAAAGTGCTAAGAGTAAAGACACGCAATTTCTGTGTCCAAACATAGCCTTTCTGTATTGGGGGCTGACAATGAGAGTGGGTAATAAGCAAGTAAGAGAAGGAATAGACTGTGGTCCAGGTGTGATGAAAGGTGCAAAAAGATTGTTTTTCACAACGTGGGGTAGGGAGACATAGGGATTGAATTAGATCAGTGGTTAGCAAGCATCAGTTAACCTTCATGTGCCACTGTTATTGTTGACTTCATATTATAAAGCAACTAACTTGTTTAACCTAAGCATCATTATAAGAAACACATAAATATATATATGCAATTGCAGATTTGTTAATAATTATTTTTTCTAATACATATATACATATGAACACATGTACATATATACATATATGTAAACCATTAACATTTTTTTTAAAGTTTATCACTGTTACCTAAAATCATTGCATGTACCATCAGTGGTTGAAGTATCATACTTTGGGACACTGAACTAAAATTAAGAGATGCTAATCTTGTCCTGTCCATGTAAAAACATATATTTGCAAGAATTTGCAAGAAAATATGAAAAATAAGATTTGCACGTGAGAGAGGAGTAGAAATGCTCAGGGCTGAGAGAGCCCAAGACAAAGGATGGAAAAATAGTGTTATGTAGAGGGTCACATCAGAAGGGTGAAAAGGACAGGTGAAAGGTCTGGAGTCACTGACAGCCTCTGTGCCCCAGAGCCCGGGCATCCTAGAGACTGGGGAGGTACAGCCAACTACCAGTACCAGGGAATAACCAAAGACTCAGGTCATTACCCGGATTCACGCCAGAGTCAACTGCCGAACGAAGGTGGTTATTTTTTTCTTTTCCCGAGGAGGTATGTATCTTTTTGAAAACAAACAAACACCTTCTTTAGCACTTGTGTTGTGAAGCAAATATTGCTCTCTGTTCACTTTTTCATTCTGTCTCTGACACTATGTTTGTTACTTAGGAAACGGCAATAAGCCCATGTTTTGACTGAATGTAGTACCATCCTAATGATCAAGGGTTGGGAGCCTACTGCAGTGGTGATGTATGAAATACTGTGATATAAAAATCATAGAATATAACATTTTAAGAAAAGAAACTGTGGAAATCAGAGGCTTCTTCACTTAAAAATATTTATTGAGCCCTAACTGGTCTGGCTCAGTGGATAGAGTGTCGGCCTATGGACTGAGGGGTCCCAGGTTCGATTCCGGTCAAGGGCATGTACCTTGGTTGCGGGCATATCCCCAGTGGGAGGTGTGCAGGGGGCAGCTGATCGATGTTTCCAACTCTCTATCCCTCTCCCTCCCTCTCTGTAAAAAATCAATAAAATATACTAAAAAACAAATATTTATTGAGATGCATATAAATTAGTTGAAAAGAACAACAGTATTAATGAATCTAAAGCAGGTTTTTAAAATAAAGCCTTAAAATAGTCGATTGAACCATATGAAATTGCCAATATTTGCTGGTTTTGATCTGCAGATAAGAATTTCATAGCAGTCCCTCTACATACACTCTTTGGTTAACAGGTTAACAGTGTTCACTTCGGAAGAGAGGGCTGAGATCAAGGAAGAGAAGGAAACATTTTACTTTGTACACGTTTGAATTATTATTTTAAACTGGGGACTTGAGGGGAATATAGTCATACATTCCTTGGTTTCATAACAGAAAACAATCACAACTAGCTTTTCACAAATGGACTACATTAGAAAATAGACATTTCTAAATGACATTGCCTAAAGGCAAATTTATTTTAATCACTGTGATAGCAAAAGGGGTATACCAATTGGCACAGAAGGAGCCTCCTGCTTCAGCTATCTTGGGAGGCTTTATTCTGAAGGATTGCTGGGGGCTGATAGGATCCTGCTGCAGGTGGCCATGCTGGTCAAGGGCAGTTGCCAGCTAGACACCAAGGTGACTTCAGTGCATGTCTTACTAAAGGAATCCATCTCCTCTTTTTATCTTCCTGAAGAGATTGGGGTCACATGATATACATGTACGTGGCTGCAAACACTCAACTCCCTTCTCATGTGCACATTCTTGTTTATATATTTTCTTGCAAATTCTTGTAAATTCAAGTTTTTCCATGGATAGGGCAAACTATTTTTAGTTTGCAATCATGGCAACTATAGAAATAAATTAAGCTTAAAGTTTGTATTTTAATATTATAAACTTGGACTTAATAAAGGCCTGCGATGTAAAGAAGTATTCTTGGCAAATATTTTAGGTATAAAGAAACATTTCTATATTTTGACTTGAGATTCTACTACGTTCTAACTCTGGATTGAAAATTTATAAAATTATAAAACTAAGCAATAATAAATTCTTCAAGGAAAGCATAATAGGAATCATTGTACTATAATGAGGCAGATGTCCCTATATGGTACTTTTTTTTTTCAGGACCGATGAATGAGACATATTTATTCCTTAAAGTAAGTGATGTTTGCCCTAACTGGTTTGGCTCACTGGACAGAGCATCGGCCTGCAGACTGAAGGGTCCCAGGTTTGATTCTGGTCAAGGGCATGTACCTTGGTTGCGGGCACATCCCCAGTAGTGGGTGTGCAGGAGGCAGCTGATCGATGTTTCTCTCTCATCGATGTTTCTAGCTCTCTATCCCTCTCCTTTCCTCTCCGTAAAAAATCAATAAAATATATTTTTTTTAAAAAAGTAAGTGATGTTTGGCAAACTCCAGGTACAAAGTCTTGCAAATTTACATATGATCAAATAGTCTAATGAGATATTTGCTGACATGTGGATTACCAAGGGACATTTTAAAAGGTGGGGGGCAGAGAGTTGGGACACTGTTGGCAGCTCAAGAGCAAGGATCGCTAAAGGAAACTCGGATTTTCTAGGCTTTCCCATGGGCTAAGCAGAATACATTGTTTAGCCCTGCACTAGAGCAACACCTTTATTAATTATGCAAACTTTTTTTTTGGATGGGTAAAAGAATTTGAGAATGACTCAGCAAGAGGTTTCAAAACCAAATACCTCCACCAGCTCATTGAACATGCTCTTTTCAAAAGTGCTCTCTGCTCTGAGACCTGGAGGGTAGGAGTTTGAGCTCTGCCTAAAGGAGGCTGCTTCTCTTGCCAGTCAGTTCTGCCTCATCCTCCCATCCTTTTATTTTCAGTTTAAGTTGGAAATAGTTGATACTTCTTCAAGATTAGCCGCAAATTTTTCTTCAACCAACATAACACCCGATCAAATGCCCTAACCAAAGACCTGGTCTACCTGTCAAAGGCGTGTGCGTGTGTGCGGTTACCTTCATGTTTCCCTTTAGATGAGCCTGTATGTTGATGGTAGCTTGGGAAAGGGGGAACGTTAAATGTTAAATTAACATGTAAAGGCAGCGGAAGTGTTTTTAGAAGTCCCCACTGAAGTGACAGTTCAAGATTTAGTTGGAAAAGGAAAAGGCTCCCCATCCCCAGTCCCTTGGGTATTGGGGGGGGGAGGGGACTTCTCACCTATTTTGGAAACGACTTGCAGATGTGGGCAAACCTCCGCGTTGCTCACACCGGGGGTTTTGCAGAGCTTGCCTCTGATTTTTTTTTTCTTCCCAATTTCCCACAGCCTGTGTTTGTCTTGCGTCTGCTAGGCTGACATGCGGTTTACCTCGCTGGTCCTGCTGCCAGGTTTTACACACTCTGCTCCGGTGTAAAACAACTCAAGCCCAAGGATCCTGAGCCACTCCGGGCTTGGGCGCCAGAACTGTCAGAGAAAATTTGCTTCCCGAGTATTCCCACCAACTTCCCTTCCTGCGCCCACGGGAGCCAGAGCGCCAGCCCGTCAGCAAGGTCTTCACGTTTCCTGCGGCTGCAATCTGTAACTTGACTTTGAATGTGTTTTTTTCTTCTAATTGTAGTTTTGAGGATCTTGGTTCTTAGCAAAAGTTTTTGGTTAGGGGGATTTTAAAGGACTTTTAAACTGTTTCCTTACCTAAGTCACGGAGGCTCCGACACTTTCCCTCCATTCCTGGGTTGGACTGAAGTTAGTGGGCAGCGAAGGAGAGAAACACACTGGCTGTTTCTTTGGGGGAGGGGAAGTGGAGATTCGCAGCTAAGTTATGATCCCTCGCATCCCCCCACCCCCCGGTTTGACACTCAAGACCGACACGTACATCATCTGTTAATTGCTGTCCGCGGACGCAGATACATATTATATACATTATTTTATCTTCGGTGAAATAGAAATGGAATATTCAGCGCGCTCGCGTCTGTTTGTTTGTCTAAGGCTATCAAAAGAAGTCACCGAGGAGGCTGTGGCCCGGATCCTGACCCTGATTGTATGAATAAGTAAGCAGGATGCAAGTGATTGGGTTAGATGCGGCGAAGATTTTTTTTTTTTTTTTTTCAAGTTAGGAAGAGGGTAAAAAGACAGCCTGGGGAGGGGTGGGGGGGGAAGGCAAACATTGCATCCCCCAATCCTCATACTTTGGCTCGTCCTTGCAGTCAGTTGCTTTGCTGGCTTCAGCAGGCTCTTAAGGTCTCGAGGCGTAGACATGCCTGCCCCCCACCCCCTTCCTCGGTCTCCCCTTTCAGTTCAGATGTGCTGATGTGCAGACCGGATTCATCTTCCCGGAGCAGCGGCGGCGGGCGCAGGCGGCGGCGGCGGCGGCTCGCGCTCGGCCGCCAGGTCCGGGCAGCGGCGGGGGCGCGGCGCGGGAGCCGGAGCTCCGTGTGCAGCTGAGCCCGTGGGGCGCCGCTCGCCCAGCCGCGGCCGTGGGAAGTCCGGCCGCCAGAAGGACGCCCCGGCAGGCTGCGAGCGCCCACTCCGCCCGAGCCGAGTTGGCCCGAGGCTGCTCCTCCCCGCCCGCGGGAGACGAGCTCCTTACCTGCCCTCCGCCCACCCGCCGGCCCTTCGCCAACTTCTCTCTGCCACTGGGGGTAACAGGCACTTCTGGCCCCCTCTACTGTCCCAACGGCACACGCATGTCTCCGGACACCTGAGCACCCGGGTCCCGCCGAGGAGCCTCCCCGCGGGGAGAGGAGCGCCAGTCCCCTTGACCCCGCACATCCACGCGGACCGCGGACGCCTCTCCTCCCGGGCCGGTCCCCTCCTTTTCCTCCAGGGGTGGAGGATGGGGTTGGAAACGCTGCCCCCGAGGATGCGCTGGTGGCTGGTGGCCGTGGGGATTATTTGCTACGGGGAACGGTGGGTCTGCGCTGGCCTCGATTATGATTACACTTTGGAGGGCAACGAAGAGGAGAAAGCGGAGGTGATCGATTACAAGGACCCGTGTAAAGCCGGTAAGTGCCTCTCCAGGTTGGGACGTGGCGCGCGGGGGACCGCGGCGCTCCCTGGTCCGCGGGTGGCGGTGGGAGCCTCTCACCTGTTTCCTTCCCTCCCCTGCCAGCCCCTCCGCCGCCCCTCCTTCTCTTCCCCTCCTCGCCTTCCGCCCCCTACCCCCCAAGCGGCAGCCGCCGCGGCCCGAGGTGCCTGGAGTTGTGTGCTAGCGGCATCCGCTGCCAAGCTCCGGGCTCCCCGTTTGGGAAAAGCGTCCTGGAGTGGATTCCCCTCCCCTCCCCCAGCAAAACGAAACGAGGCATAAACACAGCTGGCTGCCGTGGGTTTTAAATACCAACACTCCGCCGGCTCTGTGCCTGGCGGGCACAACACCTCCCCTTTGTTCCCCAAACGGTGGGTGGGGATGGAATGGCTACCTCGGGACCCGTTCGCTCCCTCTTTGCCAGGGATTTCCAGTGTGGGCTCCAGGCGCGAAAGGGCTTGTGACGCTCTTGGAAGCTCTCACGCTAGATGGAATTCCAATACATCTGCCCATTAAAAGAAAAAAAAAAGCAAAGTTGCCACCCCATTCAAACTTGTGTCTTCCTTCCTGCGTACACCCCCGGGAGGGAACTGCGGTTGGACCGGCGCTGCCCGCCGCTCAGGCTGCTCCTCGCCGGGTCCCGGAGCGCCAGGGCCCTCCCCTCCCCTGCGCGCCCGGTGCCGCTGCGGGTCTCTCCTCCCGCGCGGGGCGGCGCCTCCCTCCCGCCGCCTCCCTCCCGCCGCCCCGGGTCGGAGCTGCACGTGCGGCGGCCGGAGACCACGTGAGCGCCGCGCCCGCCTCGCCTCCCCTTCCGCGGGGCTCCCGGCGCTCCCGAACCCTGGCTCTGCCGAACTGAGGTTGGGGTGCCCCGGCATCAGTGTGGACTTGGGCTGACTGCGGAAGGAAGGTTACAGGGGTGATGGGGGCCGGCTGGACAGGGAGAGTTGTTTGGAAGCTGAAGGGGTGTTCATTCCTCATCTCGAGAGGCGGAGGAAGGGAGTGGGCAGAGAACCGCACGCATCTCTGCCTCTCCGGGTGGTGTGCGGGGTTCCTCGGTCGGTGACTGCGAGTTCGTTCCTTCCGTGGCTAGGTAAACCTTATTCCGCCTCCCTTGGGCCTGAAGGAAGGAGAGAGACACGCAAGGAAAAGTGATGGAAATTCCCTTGTTAATTTCTCCCTCTGCTAGCACGTGGTTCTGACAAGGAGGATGTGTGTGCGCCCTCCCCGTTATCAGATCTTTCCTGGTGAACTCTTGCTGCAGGTACTTAATCAAAACTCCAAGTAGCTTAGGAGAAACTTGTCAGCCGGGGGAGACACACACACACACACACACACCCTGATTTAATTCATTTTGGCTTATATGTTCTCCTCTCACTTTTAACACTCAGTGTATCCCACTAAAAGTTTGTTGGGCCTTCCCTGGTCATTTGGAGGAGAGGATGTGCTTCTGCCAGGGGTGACTGGTGGCTGAGCAACCAGAATTCAGTGCAACTCCTAAACGCACTTTTTATCGAGAAATTTGTTTTGGATAATATCTACAACCGGGTGAAAATTGTGCACTTTATTGTTTTAGGTAAGGTGGAAATGAAGTCTATTATTTCTAAACATTGTCTAGGAAAATTTTTTACTCTGTTGTGTGAAAGATTCAACCAGCTATCAACCTGAGCTGAACAGGGCTCGATTGGCCCAATTTCAGGAAAATAAGTGTAGTTTTGTACACAAATTAAAAGTAAAAGTGTCTGCTTTTTAAACATCATTAGTTTCAAATGTGACTATATATTAAGCAGTGTCAAAAATTAGCTAATGCATTTTCAGCAGTTATGTCATTCCAAGCTTATCTTATGTTAGAAATTGTCCAGAAGATTTTGTGACCACAAGTGCTTTCTTTTCTATTTATGTTTTCAATTTTTAAATTTCAGTAGTTGCGCCATACAGCTTGAAGCACCTCAAGTATAAATGTTTATTTTCCTCAGCAAATAAGACCTAAAGTAAGGAAAAATAACCTTTAACAGCATTTACTTTTGTTTTTCTTTTAACACAGGTTTATTTTGAACATAACTGTTGACGTTAAAACAACAATAAAAACAACCTTGAATGGATTATTACTGTAATCTCTTTTCTTCCCTGTCTTTGAGTACCAGAAGCATACTTGTGTGGGTAGTGAGGGTGAAATAAGAATGGCCCAAGTGGAAGGCTGAGAAGTTTGCCCAAAATCTGAGGTCACTTTTTAAAGTATCAACCCTGCTTTTTAATTTAGTGAAATGAAAGGCTTTCAATTTACCATCTTGGCTAAAGAATGGCAAAATCTTTGTGCCTCCCTTTTGGCACTGTATAAGACAAGAGTTGTAATGACAGAAAAAATAATATAGGACATTGACATCCCAAACAGGAGGTGAAAAGAAAGTTCACTAACATGAGATGAGGACAGCCATGCGAAAGATGGCCACTCAAAAGCCAAAAGGACTGTGCTCTCCAGACTCGGGGACACCGTTGATCTGCCCTTTCCAAAATTCAGAGTGGAGGGCCTGGCCCTGGAATAAAATATTCTTTTTGAACTTTTCTAACAGGGGTCCCAATATTCTTTAAACTACACAGTGGCTTGATGTCAAATAGCTTTATGGCTTCAGAGCACTTTTGCGTACATTATTTCAGCGGAACACTACAGCTCTGTATGGTAGCATTTGTTCATCTTCCCATTACACAGATTGGAAAACAAATGCTTGGTGAAGTACATGTGTTTGCTAAGATTACCCATAACTTCATTGTAAGTCTCCTGGCTGCAAAGTCTGGCTGTTTGAAATGGTTACTGCAGCCTTAGCTTTGGAAACCTTCCTTGAAATGCAAACAATAGAAATCCACCCAGGTTTACCTGGAGTCCAGACTAAGAAAAATGCAGTTATTTTATAGCTGATATAAGTGGAATGGCTATGAAAATAGCTTCATCTTTTCCAAACCCAATTAGAATATAAAGTCCTTGCCCTAGCTGGTTTGGCTCAGTGAATAGAGCGTTGGCCTGCAAACTGAAAGGTCCCAGGTTCGACTCTGGCCAACGGCACATGCCCTGGTTGCGGCTCGATCCCCAGTAGAGGGCGTGCTGGAGACAGCCCATCAATGATTCTCTCTCATCATTGATGTTTCTATCTCCCTCTCACTTCCTTTTTGAAACCAATAAAAATGTATATTTAAAAAAAGAATATATAAAGTTTTTGAGAACAAAGGTCATACCTGATTTTTAATGTTTATCACAAGATGGGTTACTGTTAAGTGTGTAGTTTGTTCTCAATACCTATAGATTATTGATATTGATCTTCACCCTTTATCTACAAACTTTTGTTCTAACCAAATTCAGATGTTACCCAAGGAGGAATATTCATAATGATAACTTGTGCCATACTTAATATATTATGAAACAATATATTTGTGAAACTTAATATATTTGTGAAACAATCACAACTCTGACTTCAAATTCATGAAACTATAGATCAAAAAAGAAGCCTTGTATTAATTTAATTGAATTTTGATTTCAAAAGGCATTTTTGGGATACATGAAAGTAACTAGTTAATGCAGCACAGCTTCAGATATATTTATACAGCCAAATCCACTAGGGCGGAATATAGGTAATTAATGTCCACATAAATAGACACAACGATGCAGATAATTCATAGGAATGTTTGACTGCCTTTCTTCAGTGCAGTACATGGTCACCTGAATTTGCAATCAGATTTCTTTTACTCTCTCCAGTTCAGAAGCGTCCTGAGGGACACTGGGACGCTGATGCTGCAGGAAGTCCTTCCAGAACAGAGACTGAGGTGTCCTGTTTCACTGTTGAACTATTCCAATAGGTGTAAATCTGAGTGTTAATATGTGAAGAGCCTGGGCAAATTCAGTGTGTAAATTAATCTCTCAGATTTGTCTAGAGATTACCTGGAAAAGCAGAGACCTGATAAAACCAGTCGGTGTTCTCCCTCCCTTCCTCCTCAAGTCCTCTCCCTCTCCCTCCGTCCTCCCTCCTTCCCCCTCCTTTTCTTTCTTCCTTTCTCTCTTTGTACTTCAGGTATATCAGGAAAGCTCCGGCAATTGAAAATATAATATCAAATAAAGGCGATTGATGAAGGTAGTATTTTGAATGATGGGTGGAAGCTGATTAGACAGATGAGGTAAATATTTGTCCAGAAGGATAACCTTATCCTCTTACGCGAGTGTGAGCACTCTGAAAAAAGACTTTCTACCTAGAATCTTCTGAGTCAATGATTCTTTCTTGAAAAAAATCCAAGCATGATTAAAGGTCAGTGATTTGCAAGGTTACATTTGCCTTAGAGTTGCATATGCAAGCCTGTTTATATAGAAATAGATTTTTGGCATCCTAAAGGTATCTCCTTTCTACTTTGCTTTATAACCAGTGCCCTGGTTTCCTAGTATACTAATTCTTGGGATAGTTTTCATAAGTTTATAATTTCTCCATAAGATTTTATCAGTCTTTCAGTCCTTGATGTTGTACTTTCTAGTTTCATTGGCAGCCTCATAGGTGTGGTATTTTAGAATTGATGTTCAACACCATGTCTACTTTATTCCATCCTTTTATTAAATACCCAAACATATAGTTCTTGGTTGGCACCACTCTAGGTTGCCAAACCCTCATGTTAAAAATGCATTCCCTGGAGCCGCTTCTCTTAGGCAGTCACTTCTGTTTTAGTTTTCATTTCTCAGATCTTGAATTTTTTTTTTTCTCCTCCTGCGTCTGGGGCCAATTCAGAAGTGGCCAAAATACAGTTTTTGCGAAAGGGATGGCTAAGGCATTATGTTTACATATTTGTATTCTGTTCTTCATTTGCAGTAGTAATTCTTTAGCCTTTGTCATGAGGGCCCACATCCATTTTTGGCCAACAAATGGCAGTTCCTGTTATTAGATATGAATAAGGTTATTCTTTCTTAAATATATTCCCTTAGACTGATAATTCCGTGAATTATTACATGAACTA